CAGCCTTCGTCAAGAAGTAACAGTCTCATAATCAGAACATCGTAGTCCTCATCTATGTTACTGAAGCGCTATCGTCTATGGACTGAAGCTATGTTATGTTACACGAGATATAAAACATACTTCAAGGCCTTTCATTCATGATAAAGTGTACAGTTACATAGGTATTTGATTGCCGCTAGGGCACCTAAATACAACACATACCTCTTCCGGTGGTTCCTCGTGTGCCATGAGGCAAAGGTTGGCAGTTTCGTTTTCTTCGCCTTCCGATGATTCGTCGCCGGAATCACCTCCCCACGAGATGTAAGCTCGGTGCTTCTTGAACGGTTTCTTCTCATTCTTGGTATTTGGGCATTTTGGTTTTATATGCCCAACTTCTCCACACCCATAGCATTTGGGTGGTTCTCCTTGCTTCTTTCCTTTTCGTTCAAACTCCTTGCGCATGAACTTATGAAATTTCTTAAGCACGACCCCGAACTCGTCTTTGTCACTCGAGTCCTCCACATCACGTTCTTGACTTGTGGACGCCTTGAGTGCAATCCCATTCTTCTTTTGTTCACCTAAAGAGGGGTAAAGAATGGTAGACTCATAGGTTTTGAGGTTACCTCTAAACCCGTCAATGGTGACACTGGTGATGCCGATAGATTCTTGGATAGCATCGGCTTTGGAGCGCCATTCCTGTGTGAGACTCCGCAGGATTTTTCTTACAAGCTCCTTGTCCGTGTATGTCTTCTTGAGAGCATGAAGATCGTTTACGATTTTCGAAAATCGTTCAAACATATCGTCGATTTTCTCGTTCTCCTTCATATGAAATAGTTCATACTCATGGGTTAGAAAATCTATCTTAGCTTCTCGGACTTGATCCGTACCTTCATATGTGACTTCTAGCTTGTGCCACATTTCCTTGGCGGTGGAACAACAAGAGATCTTCCGGTAGTCATCCGGGTTTACTGCACAATAAAGAATGTTGATAGCCTTGGCGTTGTTCTCTATTTTCTAGATATCTTGCGCATCGTATTCGTCTTCGGTTTTGGGAACGGTGGTTTCCCCAACTTTCTTCATGGGCACTTCTTCCCCATTCTTGATAATTCTCCTATCCATAGGAGAAACTTGTTGGATTGGATGAAAATTCTCATTCGTTGCTTCCAATATGTGTAATTCGTTCCATCAAATAATGGAGGCCTCGTGGTGGATTGCCCTTCTCCTAAACCTGCGTATAAGTTTTGAGTAGAAGCCATTGATCGTTTCTCTCAAACGGTTAAGTCTTTCAGAGAGTAAGCCTCTGATACCAATTGTTAGAATAAAGGCCCAACGTTAGAGGGGGGTGAATAGCGTTTAAAACAAAATCGCAGGAAATTAAAAACGAGAGCGTTAAAGTAAAGAGTGTAAGGAAGGAGCACACCGAATTTTATCCTCGTTCACCACAACGTGTGGCTAATCCAGCCCCCCGAGAGACTCTCTCGAGCTACACTAACTCCGTTAAGCTTAAGGGTGCTTAACAAACCGATACAACTTGAGAACCCGAGTCACACGAGCCTCAAACACCTTTGCTCGGAGATACCGCACTCCAAGACTTCTCACGAAGGAACAAGGAACTTCCTTCGAGTTTACAACAAGGGAACAAACTCCCTTAAAGTGTATGAAAACACTTAAACACTCAGGAATAAAACTCTCACAAAGAGTAGATATGAGTGAACTAGTAAACGCTCAAGAACACGACAATTTCTTCAAGAATTGGCTCTCAAATAGCTAAGAAAATTAGGAATGATTATGCAATGAAAGAGTATTGAAATGTTGAAGAATTGTGTGTAAAATGAGAGGATTTGGGTGCCATTTTATAGCCCAAAATGGGATAAACCCGTTGCTAGAGTTTCCAATTGGATGAAGACAAATTTTTCAAGGACACAGGCTTATAGTCGATTATCCAAGCTTGATAATCGATTATCAAAAGATTCCTTGTCCAAAAATTTAAAATTCTATCCGTTGGAGGACAACGGTAACCCAGATAATCGATTGTCAACAAGTGATAATCGATTATTGGTCCTCTCAGAAGATTCTGGGTTTTGGCTGCAAAGACTGATAATCGATTATTGCATAAGTGATAATCGATTATTGCGTGCTTCAGAACTTTGGAAGTTCAAAGCTACAGGGGCTGATAGTCGATTGTCACTAAGGTGATAATCGATTATCACCCAACTAAAGTCTAGCCAGCTGAAACCCGTTTTGAAAAAACCAAGGTCCAAAAACGAAGTGTTCCCAAAAGTAAAAACCAGGTTTGAAAAATATTGTATATGGTATAAAATAGTGAAAACAAGACTTGTTTGGTAAAAACCAAGTCTCCAAGGTCGTACAATACGTGCGTACGGTTTTGACCGTTTTTCACCTACGTTAGACCGATTGACCCTGATACAAAAGTGGTTTTTATAAAATAATTATTTGGCAACATTTTAAAAATGCTCAGAGGTAAAAACAGGGTTTAAAATATTGAAAACCAAACGTCGAAAGCCTAACGCCGAAAGCCAACCGCTGAAAGCCAAACCCCGACTTAGGTGGTTTCGGTTCCGAGCAAGGACCAGGGATTTTAACAATAAAAGAAATCATCAAAAAAGTTTGTTTTGATGCACAAATTTTTTTTTATGATTTGTAAAAATTGTTTTGACCTTTTGAGAACCGAGACTTGAATTTATTGTCGGTTTTGATCACAAAAGACCGACTCGACTAAGTCTTCAATTCTTTATCTTGTCCTTGAGTCTTTTAGGTCTTGTTCCAAGCCATTCTTGACGCCTTGAGTTATTCAACAAAACTCTTTATATCCACGGCGGTTTGGCAATTATCAAAACCTGTTAGAAATGAACACGACTTTAGTTTATCGTACAAAGTGTGTTCCAACAGTTTTCTGTGCAACATGGTACCGAGGTACCGCCACTCACGGTACACCCTACCATATGCACGGTACCATGTTACCGTGAGGACGGTACCGGCTACCGTGACTGTTGGGTTATTCTTCCTGATTTGTGAATTTGATTTTAATTAATCCTAATCGCCTCCCAACTGCTAATTAACCTCTTCCACTATAAATACAAGCCTAATCCTTCATATTTCTTTAGGAAGCAAAGCTCCAAATTTTCTCCTTTAATTGTAACGCCCCGAAACATACCCTAGAATTATTATTAAATAATTATTCGATTAAACAAATTTGTTTTGATTATTATTGGGCTTTGGGCTGATATGAAATATTTTTTTATATCCAATATCAAAATCTGGATAAGTCTAATTGAGATAAATCCAATATGTGGACTATTTGTGTGGTCTTGATTGGGAACCTGAGTACAGACCCAAATCAAGAATAATTAAATTAATTAATTATGATGTGAACTTTGTAATGATTTATTGAAATAAATCATGAGAATAATTGATATGAATTAAATGAGAGAACCTTTTATGAGAAAGGTCAATTAAACCAATTTTGACTCTGTTAAAGTAAAACACCCAAAAATATGATGTCGGAAAAAGTATTACAAATAAATATAAAAATTATATCGTTAGATAGAGTTTAACTGCCCGATCGCAACGGTGCAAACGGAATTCAATTCGGAGAAAGTTGGACCAAAAAGTGTACCCCGACTGGAACCAAAATTGGTCCCAATCAGGGACACTGTGCGAACGGCGCCTCCTTCCCCACTACGCCGATCGCAGAGTCA